AACATCGATCATATATGATTAAACAACAATCAAATAATGAGGAGTAAATCAACTAATACTTTATATGTGTTTACAATAAAACAATTGAAGTATTATTAAAAATTCTTAAGAATATTCAAAATAAATTGAACTCGATATTTTTACGTGAAGAAATAATGGAACATAAACAAGATCTCTTCAAAGATTGTTACAATCGAAGCTTTTGACTAAAACAAAAAACAACACTAGTAACTTATTTTAAAATTATTTCATTGTGTGGAAATATGCTGCAAAACTCAATGATATAAACGTGTTCATCTCTAAGAGTTTCAGTAATTGCTGCGACATGTGAAAATCGATAGAATATTTATATAGAAATAACGTCTTCTTAGAGTAATCTACTATGAATTCAAGATATATTCATATTTTATAAGAAGATAGTTCATATCGTGTTATAATTCAAAAGATTTTAAAATTATAATTATTTAAAAGATTTTTGAATTTTAATCAAATACCATACTTAGATATTTCCTTGAACTTTTTTTTATTTATATAGAAACTTTTTCTAATAAAGGAACATTTCTAGATGCCGGAAAGCTATTGAGTTGGGACTTCGCGCATCTTAAAAGCCGTAGTAATCTGTATCTATGGTTTTAAAAAAATCGGGTTTCTAGGGAAATATCAAGTTTTTAGGAATTTTTTTTTTCTATAGTACCCTAGCTAGACTAGTTTGCATAAAGAAATTTCAGAAGTTTTGGATGAAGTCTCTCCAAGATATGGAACTAATAAGATACCGACTCTTTTTTATTTCTTCGTATCTCAGAAAAAGTTTGTCCAAAACTTCAAAACATAGGTTGTGGGTGTGGGTGTCGGTGAAGCTGATTGTGGTTGTGAATGAACAAGAGAAAAATGCATACCCACACCGATACCCAGAATTTTCAGCTCGATATTTTGATGTTTGACAGAGATATGAACCAAAAAAGGGTCAAAAGTAGCTCATCTGACAATCCATTTTTCTCTGTCAAAGCTCATTCAATATATTTAAATATTTTTGTTTGAAAGAGCACCTCAGGATGCAGTGTAGTACAGAATCCTTTTTTTTTAAATTATTAACTTTTAAGCGGTGAAAAAGGCTGACAAGTTTAATGACTCAAAAAACTCCTTAAAAATGATGGTCTGTTTATATAAGTGCCTGTATATATAATAAAAAATAAGCTTAATTTAAAAAAAGGACTCTGTACTGCACTACATCTTGACGTACTCTTTCAAACAAACAAAAAAAATATAAATATATTGAATCAGCCTGGACAGAGAAAAATGGATTGGGCAGTCCAGAAAGCCTAAACTGAGAAAAAACGAAAAACATTTTTTGAACTGATATTTTTCAAGATTTTTGTACTCTTAAACAGTTTTTTGACATATTTGAAAATAATAATCACCAACTGTCATATATCTTTGTAAATTATATATAAATAGGCTTGTTTTCCATCAAGCTTGTTAAACGATCTCTATTTTTTATTCAAATGCTTAGACGGGGTATCTTCCCATATGTTTATCTCAATTTCGAAAATTCTGAGGAAAATTGACGTTTTTGAGCGGGGGGAGGCCTTAAAATCATTATATGATAATTTGAAGAAAAAAAAATATTAAATTAAGTAATCAAATTAAATCCTATACTTCGAATAAAAAAAAATGATTTTTACACATGGAACATTAGCAGTCAAAATATTACATATGATGATTATGATGATGAAGAAATTATTTCATTATCCAACAAGAGAGATAAAGATTTCGTTAAAGCTGATGATTTATGGGCACATATTTTAAGTATCAATTCCAATGCAACACCAAATTTTTAAAAAAACTTATCTGTGATATCTTCTCATATTTCATGTTTGAATTCTTTTGTAGAATCCATTTTCAGCAATACGAAACATTGTTGGAATGATTATCGTAATCGTATGGACATGGAACTGGTCAGTTCTGAACTTAAGATACGAATGAATAGTAATTGTTCTTGTGAACGATTTTATAGAAATATATTATCTCAAACACATTTGTTAACGCAAAGTCGACAAAATACAAAATATGACTAATAATATCGAGATGAGGCTATATAATATTTTTCTTTCGTTGGATTTCTTAATCTACACATTATATAAGATTTGTTTTAGTACATTTTTCGTGAACGAGTTTTAAATCAGTGATAAAGTTCGATACTAAGTGCCTTTTCTTAGTTTTTGTATATTAACTAAAGAATATGTGTATTATATTGTCTTTCTTTATACTGAAGCATATTGCAAATATAATATAAATCAATAAACAGAAAGTCCGTAGACCCTTGGGTGCCAGCAATTTGACATGATCTCCATTATTTTGTAAAACAATTTCTGATTGTTTTCTGAATTTAAAAGAAACAAAAGTTCTGATTTTTAAATTTTTGATCCGGTCACCCTGGGTTGGTCGAAGGTGCGTCTATGGCTGTGACTGTGGGTGCACTATTTCTAGGGCATCCACACCGATTGCCAATAAAAATTCATATAGAAGAGTAGTTGTCGATTAGTCAACTACAGCCGAAAAATGAAAATAAGTGAGATCTATATTAATTTATTTTTTAGAATTGAATAGGTGCAAAAGAATTTTAATAATCGAATTCAACTTTCAAATTTCTGAATTATGTATGAAAACTCAAATATTATTACTCATATTTCAAATGGTTGTAAATACTTAATTTCATTGGAAACTACGTAAGTTCGAACGTTCAGTAATAAAACATGTCATGAACAGTATCCGTAATCATAAATAAATACTAGTCATTAACATAAAGTACGCCCGGGTAGCTCAGTCGGTAGAGCGTGTGGCTTTTAACCACAATGTCCAGGGTTCGAGCCCCTGCTCGGGCGTTGACTCTGTTTTTTTTTCATGATCTTAAATGTTGGTTTTTTCACTTCAGGTTAAATATTCTATGAATTTATGACTAGCAAAAGTCATGGCAAGTTACTTTATTTGATTACAAAGTGTTTAACGAAAAGATTTTCTTTAGTTTTGAGACTTTTCCAAATTGAGAATGAGGATAATATCTCTATAGCTATAAGTATGAAGAAGAATTCAATTTTCTTTATTCCACTTTTATTTACAAAAATGAAAGCTACCACTTTGAACCAAGCAAATGGAGTACGATTCTGATTGTGAATGTTCATGAGGACCAGTGTAGCCAGATGTGAAGATCAAAAAGCCAGAATTCAAATCTCAAAATCTGGAAATTTTTTTAGAGTCGTTTCTTATTACTAATAGTGCGTTTTTTTTAACCAAATTATCAATAACGCTGTTCTTTATCTCTACAAAATATATTTAAATGAAATAAAAGAAAATACAGATCAAAACACTATTAAATTAATGAAAGACAAAATCGAAACTATCAATTAAATGTTGCATTTCACTATTAATTTACAAATGGTTTTGTGTAGAACATTTTTCACTAGAATAAGTTCCAATACTTCTGGTGTTGATCAGGGAAAATCATAAATTTCTGTTCACGATAAGGGAGAATTTAAACGATTTTTTAATTCAACTGTAATAAATATTGTTGGCATACGATCTCACTGATCATCAGTTGAATGTTTCATATTGAAAAAACACTTTCAATATAACCATTACGTCACATATTTGAGAATGAAAAATGAACGAATTTGAGTAGATTTAACATATAAATGCATTACCCAAACACTAAACCTCTATCCAGTTTGTAATAATTGATTTAGAGGTGTTAAATAGAAGTGAAATAAAATTAAACTAAAATGTCGGAAATCCGGAAAAGATTGGAAAAAATTTCAAAATCCGGAATTTTTCCAGAAGTTCTGGCATCTCTGATGAGGACTAAACTCACACCCATATCCATTCACACAGGCATCACTTGTCTAAATACTCACATTTTCATGTCAATCTAGTTTTATCTGGGTGCATCATGTGCAAAAACTAATCCAATTAGGAATTTTAGTTCCACAAGGTACTTGACAACCAAGGCTAATGAATCTTTTGGTCACAAATAATGTGGGGGTCGGTAATGAGAAAATATTCACACTCACAGTTTCTATTCATGCGACTCGAAAAAGTTATTGTTCATTTTAGTATGTTACACTACATATGCAAACATCAATTATTACTTGCTCAACTAATGGTATTGAGAGTCACACATGTTCACTCACGCCCTTGTCTTTTTGGGTAATATTAGCAGCATCACAAAACTGATTTAGTAATTTTATATTAGCATTCTATCCACATCCAAAAAACAAGAAAATATTAGCTAGTCATGAAAATAGACCAGTATTTTCATAATAACGAAAACACAATGAGTTTCATTCAAAAGTGATTAGCTTCTCGTATGGCATAGAATTATGAAATCCTCAGTATATTAGAACTCAATATGTTTCATCACACATAGAAATATTAAAATGATTGTTTCTTGTGACATAAAATACTATTGATCGACACTTTAATGATAGAAATACAAAAAAAGCGGATGAAACATACTGTTTTTATGCTATTTCGGAACTGCAGACAGAACTCAGAAATGTTGGATTTTTGTATATCGAAGGACAACACTTCAATAGAGAATAATGAATAAATTTGCAAATTGTTTTTAAATTGATATGATTTAATTAATTTCATGTTTCGATTGTCAACGAAATCATTCTTCATCATAATACTAACTTGTACTATAATGAAATATCACTCATAACTTAGAATAAGAAAATATAATGAGAAACAAAAGTTTATTGCCGAGCTTTGGGTGAAAATTCTATAATCACATTGTTATTCATAAACAACTGTAAAAAATTTTTTGTATTCTCTAATAAATATTGCTTATGACATATTGAATATGTTATTCATGATTAAATATTTATTGTATAAAATGATAAAGAAAAAGAAAAACAAAAAACTGAAATTGATAGAAAGATAAATGAAATTAAGTTAATATGAAAAAATATTGTTTTCAATGATATGATTTTTATAAAGAATAATTATGTTAGTCGATCAGAAGATGCTGTTTGTAATGTCATTACAAACATAGAGGCTGATTGTTTTTTTGGTGCAATAAAAAATGGTTGATTGACACCATAGCATTGTAATTGATCTATAAATTTTGCATTACCCCAACTATTCAATACATTTTGAAAAGAACCTGATCTAGTAATTGTAAATGTTTGTTTATCAGTAGCTTGATAATTAAAATTTTGTCTCGGACAAAGAAGAAGAGGACATGATACAACCCATATTCGATCACTAAACGATGCAGTTACTATACCATTTAATGAATCAGATGACCTAGCATAAGTAAGTGTTCCTGTATAGTATCCAACATATCTACCTTGTAATATATATGTGGCTTGAATATTTAAATAATGAACTTTACCAGGTGGTTCGTTAGTTAAATATTTAAAATAATAATTTAATACAGGTCTACATTGTACAGTTGATAATATTTGACTATTTATTTTATTTAATATAAATATAATCATGAATAATAATATAAAGTAACATTTATTTATTTCCATAGTTCAATTTATTATTGAGATTATAAATTTATTCGAATTATGAAGATTAATATAATCGGTAAATATTTGAAAGCTATTTATATGTATAATAATCAAGTATTTGCTAGATATTATACGTTGTTCGTATCTCTTTCAACTGTCTATGACAAAATACATAGAGAAAAATAGAAAACAAAAATCAAATAACCATTCACATAATCATCAAAACAAGATTGTAAACAATAGGGCGTAATTATACCAAGCAAAAATGAGTAATATTTTCCTTCTAAAACATGATTTACAATGATCATGTGAAAAAGAAGGAAGAAATACTCATTTTTGTCGCCTAAAATTTACATAATACAATCTAAAATTAATGTCGGATTTTTTTAAAAGTACTAACGACCATTTTTTGAATAACTTTTCAATGGTTCAAGCTATAGACGTCTGGTTTTCACCGTTAGAAAGAGGAAGACGGGGGACGTCGATCTGTATAAAATTCATTAAGTTCAAGCATCTTTTCTATAGTTGTTTGCAGTCAGATATCTTTTTCGTTGTCTATTTTCATGAGTTTTCAGCAGTGTCACATATCCAAGATTTTGGAGATGCCACCACGTCTCCCGCGGGAGATGCCGCATCTCGCGTGAGAGATGCGGGTGTGGGTGTGGGGGATGCGCATATCTAAAGTAGATCTTACATCTCCAGTGGTGAATGACCATATCTCTCGAGTGTGGGTGTCGTGTCTCCCGCTGGAGATGCGGCATCTCCCACGGGAGATGGGGTGGCATCTCCAAAATCTTGGATATGTGACACTACTCTGAGTTTTCGTGACAAGTTAATATCAAATTAGATCAAAATGTAACCCAAATCTCCCTGTATTTGTGCCAAAATTCTCATATTTTAACATTAAGGTGTAAGGAAAAAAACCCGAGAAGAAAACGCAAAGATTTGAAAATTTTAGCACAAATACATGGAGATTTGGACTACATTTTGGTCTAATTTGATATTAACTTGTCACGAGAACTCATGAAAATAGACAACAAAAATAATGTCTGACTACAAACAGCTATAGAAAAGAAACTTGAGCTTAATGAATTTTATACAGATCGACGTCCCCCACCTTGCTCTTTCTAAAGGTGAAAACCCAACGTCTGTAGCTTGAACCATTGAAAAATTATTCAAAAAATGGTCGTTAGTACTTTAAAAAAAATTCAACATTAGTTTGATATTCATACACTGAATTTTCACCAAAATGCTACCAGAAATATGTACTACATATTCATTTATCTTATATTTTATATGTATACTTTAAATGAATTAAACACCATATACTGTATTGTTCATAAAGTTGACAGTATTGTAAATGACTCAATGTATGAATAGTATATTTCAGATAGTTTATTTAAAATTTGTATACGAAATTATATTTACTATGAAGAGTTACAAAACTACGTAGATAGTAGTCTATTACATATTCATGAAAATATATCCATAACTAACGGTTGACGCATAATACATGGTCGGAATTTGCATTGAATATTTTGATTTCAGAATATGTATTTAAATAGAAAAAAAAAAATACCACGAGATGCAACGTGAAAAGCTTTACAATGTAAAATTATTTTTAATTCTTTACATTTTATTTTTAAGAAGAACAAAATTCTACGCGATCTATTTTTGATCTTGTGAAGATTGGAAACACAGAATTGCAGCTGTATTGAAAGCAATCAGAATAAGCTTTATCATTTTACGGTGCATCTTTAAATATAGTTTATTTTTGTAACTAAAACATATTAAATACAATAAAAAAAGAAAATTCGTATTTATATAGAAAAAAAAAGATTTTTTTCGCATAGACGAATACAGAATTTTGCTGTTTTCAGAAACAAAACTTACACAATTAAGATAAGTTTGATTTCATAGATTGCAGAGTTTTCACGTTGCATCTCATGGTATTTTTTGTTTTCTTAAAACACATTTTGAAATTAACATATATGCAATGCCATGTGCGGCCAAAATTTATTATTTAAGTATATCAACTATATTGTATAACTTAGCCTTAATATACATGTAAAACATAATTAGAAATATAATATTAATCTGTTTACAAAAACTCCATTCAGAATAAATAAATATCAATTAGGACATATATAGTTTCTTGTTTATTTATGTGTTTTTTTTTTAATATGAATTTACATTCTTGTTAGAAGAAATTATGTTTTCGAATATGATAGGAAAATATATTTCTGTTTGCCATAGAAGAGTACAGTCAAGTTTTAGAAAAATAATTACCATTGCAAAGTACGAAATTAAATTTTTATTACATGATCATATCTATAAACAATTGGCCATGATTTTTTCATTATTATCAATGATTAACTTAATTTTATAATTGTTGACAAATAAAAATAAGTTATACTCGAAGAAATATTTCGAATTTCAACTATAATGAATACATCTTAACTATAATATATTTTATTTTCTTGAATTACTAAAATAAAGAAAAAAAATTTATTCTATGAAACTTATTATAGAATTAAGATTCTAACATATATAGTAAAAAAAATAAATAACTACGTTGTTGTATATATGTTAATATATTATTCACATTTATTTTGTTTACATAAACACTTCCGTTTTATATTAAATGATACATATATACGTCTATTTTCCTATTCAAGATTGAAATTACTCATAAACATAATCATTGCTAATCTTTCTTTTGTATGAATCATTATTATATAGTTTATTTATTTGTAACTTTCAAACATAGAATTTCAGATCATGACGTGCAATACTATCTAGTCAAACATCAGCTTTGATAAATTAGTATATCAGTTAACTTGTTATACTAGGTTGGAAATAATATTTTGATAGAGGGGTACCACTATAATTTCAAAATAGAGTTAATAATGAATTTTATACCAAATGAAAGCCCGTCAAAAATGAAGTTTATTGATACTAAATACTGAGGGTTATGAAAATCTTTCAATATCGAACTTAAGAAATTTTCAGAAATTTTATGCTTTCTTTGGATTAGAATATTAAGATGCCAATGGTTTAAAAATAGAGTAAAATGTTTTTCTTGGATATTTTTACATAGTTCGATAGAACTCATCGAGCTCTACACAAACTGCATATAGTGGGTGTGGGTGTTGGTGTGGGGGTGTGGGTGTGGTTGTGGGTGGGTGTGGGTGTGGGTGTGGGTGTGGGTGTGGGTGTGGGTGTGGGGGTGTGGGTGGGTGTGGGTGTGGGCGTGGGTGTGGATGTCGGTGTGGGTGTAAATGTGTATGTGGGTGTCGGTGTTTTTATCTTTCTCATACCACCACCCACATCCACGCCAACATTTACACCCACCCACCCACATCCACATCCACATCCACGCCAACATTTACACCCACCCACCCACATCCACCCACCCACATCCACATCCACATCCACATCCACATCCACACCCACACCCTCATTGCCACGTGTGGAGAATGTGGTATGCAGGCCAAAAATGAAGACAGGAACTCTTTTCGAATAGAGTTAATCGAGTTCATATGATAATCGGTGGATTTAAATCGTTTCTCTAAGTGCTTTGTTTACCTGAATAATCTGGATTGTTTCAATATTGTATGAATGCGTAGCCGCACTTCCATGTATACTGATAAAGGTATAGAAAATGGAGTGTAAAAACATGGATATGCATGCAACAGCTTTGTAATGCGTTTATACTTCAGCGTATACTCATTTATAGATCATATTATCACATGAAGCCGAACTAGTCTAAATAAGCGATTTTTATGTCTGTATTAAATAACCGAAGCGCTAAAATATAGCTCAAGCCAATGTAGAACATGTTTTATATTAAAACTCCGTGTAAATTTGTTGTATAGAATGCGCGTAAAATTAGTCAATATTGATGCTATGAGTTGCTACTGCAGCTTTGTTACCATGAATAGTATTTAGTCAGTTTCAATCTAACACAAGGGGGAAACGGCGGACTTGAAGTAGAAAAGTACGTCAAAGTAGACTACTTGAAGTAGCTCAAAGTACCACCCAAGTAGCCCAAAGTAGGAACAAGTAGCTTAAAGTAACTTGAAGTAACTTCAGGTAAATTAGAAGTTGAAAAGTACTTCAAAGTAAGCTACTTCAAGTAGCTGAAAGTAACTTGAAGTAGCTAAAAGTAACTTCAAGTCCAAAAGTCCGCCGTTTCCCCCTTGATCTAACAACTATGAACATAAATTATTAAATTAATATTGTAAATTAACAAATTTCTCTTATCAACGAAATAATGCATTGTCTCATAAGAGAAGTAAAGGTCCTAGATAAGTTCATCGTTTGGGCCTTGCACTCGTTTACTCTTTCTTTTGCCTAAACGAGTTGTTAGGCATTTTATATTGCACTCGAATAGCAAGCGATTGAAAAAATAAAGATCGCTAAGGTCTTGTTTTTCCACTGAAAATATTTAAGATCATTATTTTTAAGCTTATTCATTATCGACTCTTGGTATAATTCTGGTCATTTATTTTGTCACAGCTCTCAGAAACTTTTAGTCATACTCGAATCTCATAGAAAGATGGTAAAAGAGAATTTAGCTAATTCATGGAAGAAGGTAATAGAATTGCCTTTGCTCAACTTCTCAAACTCATTTCGACGATTTACTTTTTCTTGTGTCTACATGACATAAAAAGCATCGAAGATTTTGATAAGACTTCAGAAAAATTTATTACTATATACAGTTTATATACTATGCATGTTGATAAAAGCAATCAAATGTGACGGAAGAGAATTCGCATAGCACATATTTGTTGAACTAATTAGACGAGCACAGAAGCATTTTAGCGAGAGTTTTTGACTGGTTCGTAGAAGTTCTTTCATTTCGAGTGTCTGCGCTCGATCGTTTGGTAGGCAACCTTCATAATCGACAGAATCAATGTGGGCGTTGGCATTAAGGAGAAGTTCAATGACAGGTCTTGCAACGTCAACATCGCCACACTCAGCGATCAGATGCAATGGCGTAAATTTGGTATACGATTCAGCTTCATTTACATTCACTCCAGCATCAATTAATACACGAATAACTGACAAAATTGGAACACTAAAACAAACAGAATTCTGTTTACAAAGAAAGAGTCTGTCCAAACTTAACATTAACATGTGATTTAGGTAGAAATGTTTCACGAATTTTTCTTCTAATCTTTTTAGAGTAAATCATCTACTAAGATTATTTTTCAACCGGATAAAATTTCTCGTAATATTATGATTTTTTCTCGTGTTGAAAGTACACGAGGGGCTCAATGCATGAGAGAAAAAAATACCTTTTCGAAGCGACAGTGTAAGACTCGCGTCTGTCTCGGATATCACAGATGCAATCTTTGAGACGAGAACAACCACGCCGTGCAGTGACCTTTTGATCTAAAGTTCGTCGTATAAGACCATAAAACATGCTCAGTTCATCATGATTTACTTTTCTTGAATCGATAAGCTAGAAAATAAAGAAAAAAAAAATACTTATTTTGGTTTTCATCGGTAGTCTAATTGCGTTTATACTATTTAACTGGATGGAATCTATTGATACGATAAAATGAAATATTCTACGTTGCAGAACGAGACACTCAACATCTGAATTAGAGAAATGGAAGATGTGATCTTTTTAAACGTTTAAAATATTAACTCGATGATATTTTCTCTACACATATACATTTATTTGAATTCTTTTCCTCATATCAAAACATAGTTGAAGTTAAGCTGCTATTGAACTCTTCGTAATCTAGCGTTTGAGTAATGCTCGATATTTTCGTCTCATAATTGTGTCTATTATTATATATTAGCATGCATTCAATTAAGAAAACACTTACATAAGTAACGATAATTATGAGATCGAACAATTTCTTGCCTAGTTGTATATCCGCTCTGTTGATTATCCATGTCCAAACAAGTTTTATGGACTTGATAGGTACGGTGTCCTCTTTAAGTAATATTTTGGATAAAATCTGTAAGAGGTCTAAAATATACTTTTTATGCCATTCGAGATCATTCCAATTCTTGTATTTGATTTGGCTTGCCAATTGATATGCATGTAATTGCAATTGGAGACAACGATGTAATAGACCATGATGCCTGTAAAAATAGCTTTGCTTAATAATTAGTGGAAGATGAAAATTAATGTCGCCACTTCTAAGTGAAATTCGTTCACTAAAAAGCAGTGCATGCATTCTCATTGCGTTATCATTATGACGTATGGCGATGAGTTCATTGAGTGTCTGACATTCATGGAAAAATTCATATGCTTCGCAGTCCACATCTGTGCACAACGGAGCTTCCATACTCAGAAATTTTTCAAAATAGCAATAGGCTTGATCGCGTCTGCTCGAATAACCGTCGATTATATATTTGCAGGCGAGTAGTGCCAATTCTTCCAGAGCTTGTTGACGAGGTAATACATCTAAAAGTATATCTACTATGGGCGTTTTGTTAAAGTTAGCAGCCGCCATTAGTGGCGTGAAACCAAGGTGATTTTTGTCAAAATTTTCACCTTGATGGTAAATGAGTGCTTTGGCAATCTCGATATGTCTTTTATGTATGGCATATTCAAGAGCAGTCCTTTTTTCGTAATCGAGTATAGTTGGATCAGCGCTATGTTTGAGAAGTAAATTGACTATAGCAAGATGATTACGACGAGAAGCTGCATGTAATGCTGTTTCATTATAATTTTTAGGACGTCGATTTGGATCACATCCTTTACTTAAAAGATAATCAACTATGTTTGTATGACCATTTTGACAAGCAACTATTAAAACTCCACACTTTGATATATGTGCATGGCCTTGTTCAATGAGTTGCCGCACCAGATCAAGATCTCCATTTCTACATGCATACCAAAGTGCTGTTCTGCCGGTCGAACAAACGTGATGCACAATTGTTGGGAGAATAGTACGATTAAATATATTCTCTAACACTATTTGAATACATTCGGAGTGTCCCTGGTCAATTACACAAGTAAGCATTGTATGTCGATACCGTTTTTTAGTCCATGTATGCTTATTTGATCGATGTTTTATTTGCCTATAAGGGACATATTTATGTCTTAAAATCGCGTCAAGATAATTAGCATCATTATCATTTATAGCTGCTTCTATCAAATATTTTATCTTTTTGCCAGTATTGGAGTAACGATTTCTATTCTTATCAATTGGTCCATATCCATTCATGTTCAAATGATAATGACAATCAGTCAAATCTTTTTTTTTCCATGCTCGTCCTGGCACTCGTCTTCGTTCTGTGTAGCCTTAAAAAGTTCAAACAAAAATATTTCGTCAATGAATTTTTTGCAGTTTGAATTTTGGTTCTTTTCAAAATAGTAGATGAGAAAGAAAAAAAATCTGTGTGATTCATTGAATTCAATCTAACATACGTGATGATGAATGTAGTGGTTTGCGTTTTCTAAATTCTTTTGTTTGAATAGAAGGTCTATGATGTTGTTGAAGTTGAGAACGTTTGCGTTCATCGGACGTTTCTAAAAAACTTGTGCTCTTGAACAGTAATTCGTTTTGAACACTTGTTACCATTATGAAAAGTTTGTGCTGTTGAAATTGGAATACTGAATTTTATTTCGAATTATCAACAAAAGAAAAATAATGTAATTGGCAATATTCAAAGATGATTATGGAAATTATACGTGTTATACATTAGAAATTTTCTCTGTTTCTCAATACTTCCTGATTCATTAAACCAAACTCATGCATGGGGAAAACGGGTGGATATTATTTATGTGTGTGTATAAAATTGGTTTGGTGTGATGCAATATCTGAGAAAACGAAATTCAATAGGTAAAGATGACAACCAACTAGCATTCACACAAAAATAAAGTATGTCGCAGGTGTCGTCGTTTGAAATACAATATATGACACATTAAAGTGAAACACGTGGTTCGAACCTAGACTTTAGGCCACTTCAAGCTGATTTTCTCTCGACCATCGATCAACCTTTCGAGATATTCTTAACTAATAAATAATCGGAAAATGATCGGGTGGGTGTGGGTGTGGGTGTGGGTGTGGTGAGGGTGGGGGTGGGTGTGGGTGTAGGTGTGAGTGATAATTATCTACTCACAGTCAAACCCATACCTACACCACCCACAGCCACAGCCACATCCACACCCATCCACACTCACACCCACACCCACATCCCACACCGATACCCACACCGACAGTCACACGGAATATATTGTTGTACTAGTGTCCATCTAATGAAATCATAAAATAACGCATATTCTACAGGGCTACTGCTTTTTTCCTTATATTAAATGTCTGATTATACAACATCTAATATATAAATAGATTTCTTTGAATAACCAATGCAGATTACAAAGTTCAAGTGAAGTCATATGAAAGCGATGTAACTTCGCTGGATTTTTCTTTTACTATTTGTACCATATCACTTCTTCGGTCCTTATAAACACGGTACATTTTAACTCACGTAGTGCTACTCGAAGTTCTGATACTGTTGCTGACAGTTTTACAAACCTGTTTACATTCAAAAATTTGTTATATGAATACATAGAAGAATGTTTTGTCTATAATCATATATATATAAGAAATCGTTTTGAGGTTTAATTCTGATATACTGTCAGATATAATCCAGATCCTACTAAGAAAAATTTAAAAAAAAACTGGATAATGAAAGTAAGAAAAGTTACATCATGTTAGGTATGTCATCGTCTCAATGATGAGCAATAGTAAGAACGAACTCTAATTTATCGTGAAATTTCATGAAGATATAAGCTGAATTAGTAAAGGTGAATTTATCAATGAGTATTGTTCGCTGATATAGATTTGAAAATCTTTGTCTTGCATATTTTTTCAATCATATGATCCTGTTTTTATCCATAGTATAGATAAAACTAAGACTATAGACTACAGCTATAGTATTGAAACTTGTCTCAAGCCTTTTCTCAATGAAATAAGGGAACAAAGAAAGTCATCAAGTGCAAAAGCTATAAAACTACTTCATAATAATGCTCGACTTGATATTTATTCAGATATTATTAATTATTGGCCACAAGAAGGTATTTAATATAATGTCACATCTTCCGTGTTCACTAGCTCTTATTTCATGTGACGTTTATCTAAATCACTATATCCAATGTAATTCAATTGATCAAACAAATGAAAAATCATTGGCTAGTACGGTTTCTAAGATAGTTAAAATTATTATAAACGAAAAACTTGGAAAAAAAAACGTTTAACCCATTATTAGAAAGCATAAAACTTTGTGTAAATAATCATGACGACTCTTCTAAATATTTAAGAAAATAAAATGAAAAATCTTTCTATAGTTGTTTTTATTTAAAGTTATCAAATTTTGATAATAAGCTTGAAGTATTCATTCGTGTTATATTTATTATGATGTTTAAAAAAATCATAAGTCTTGAATATGTAATTCAAAAGTTTCATACTAATTTAAAAAAGACACTATAGTGATCTATAAAATTAGAAATTTAAACTATTTATGATGATAATTTTAAATGTTCATGAATAAAAAGAACTGTATTAACAAAGCAATCACTAGCACATGATGTTTCACTAAGTGCATGATTACTATCATAAACATATAATTTTGTTGGAATTTTGTTGGCTTTCAAACATTCATAATAACGTAAACCAATACTACATGGTACACGTTTATCTTTTTTGCCTAATTGTAATAAAACTGGTGTTTTAATTTGATCAATAAGACGTATCGATGATCTTTCAATAAGATATGTAACTAGTGATGTATCTGCCAAACGATTACGTCCTGTTTCAAAATCAAATTGTCCATTGACAGATTGAGCTAGAGCCCAATCAGGTATATCCGATGTAAGATAAGTATGAAGAAGATCAGTAACTGGATTTCGTAAGATAGCAACTGTATATTCATTTGGATATTCTCCAATAAGACGACCAATAATAACACCTGCATGAGATCCACCTATAAGTATAACTGGTCGACTTGGTTCTGTATATTCGAGACAACGACGTATAGCTTCATGACAATCTTGAACATCAGTTTTTGATATATTACCCAATAACTTATCAATTGAAGCTAGAATAATAAGAATTTGATATTCAATATTCATAGAATTTTTGTCTATTTACCTTGTCCAAAACCAACTGAACCTCGATAATTAACAATAAGCATATCAAAACCTAATGAAATATATGCAACAACACCAATATAATAATTCACTAAAATAAGATTTATATATATATTAATTTTAAATTAATTTTAAAAACATAAACGAAATTATTAACAACTTACAAGTCACAGTTGAATTTGGTCCACCATGTATTAATACCATTAATGGTCGTTTTGATTGTGTATCATGTACATGAACATAAATCGATTCAACAGGAATTGATTCATTATCAGGAAAGAATCGATCAAGATTCCATTCAATTTTATTTTTTTCTTCTTTTTTAAATTCATGTTCAACAATTAAATACCAATCATTAGTATCTTTATCTTTCTTATTTAATGTTCGTAAATCGAATACATACAATCGAAATGGTGTACGACAATCAACAATATTAACTGCAACATAATGACCAAATACAGCTAGACCAATCATGGATGTATTAACACCTAATGGTGAATCAAGAGATATGATTTTTTGTTCAATAAAATCATAAATATATAGAACATTTCGTGAACCACAGAATGAAGGAAGAAGAAGATATCGTCCATCCGAAGAATAACATCGAAGTGGAATAGATCCATAAAGACCTTTAAATTGTGTATCCCATTCGGCTGTAAATGGAGCAGCAGTTGGATTCGAATAGTTAACACTAATAAAAAATATTTTCAAATATTTTTTCAAGTATAATGCAAAATTCGATTGAATTTTATTCTTTTATGTTTTATATTTAATTTCATAGAACTAGTTAGAATTCATAGTATAGATAAAAATCTTGAAAAAACTTGTACTATTAGGTCTTTCTTTCTCAAACTATGATCATTTTACTGAACTTTCACCTTGAAATTTTTTCCAACAATTATTCTTATGATATTGTGAAAATTTTAGCCCAAATAGATATTTCCCTTTTGAGATAACATGTTTGCAAAAACAAAAAATTACTTTCAAACAAGAGCTCTCAAAAATAGACTCATGATATTCTTCAATATGTAGAGAGTTCAGTAAAATAATCATAACTCAAGAAGAAAAGTCTGACAGTATGACTTCTTTCGGGATTCGTATCTACACTATAAGGCCTACCTATGAGCTCAAACATGAAGATAAAACCAAATGTCTTATCTCACTTGACTCAGTCTGTTTCGCAGTACGAAAATATCTATTTTATTTTATTGATGAAAAAATCAAACATTTTCTCTAGAGTTATCACCTCATGAAGCCTGACAAGTGGAAAGTTCGTCTAAAAAAATGCGGAAAATTATATTATGGTGTAAATGTGAGCGTAGAAGTGTGTGTAGGAGTTTTGGGATTGAGTGCGGATGTGCGGGTAAAGTGTCCATGGTGAGAAGACCTACACACTCATCTTCATTTACTACCTTGCTATCATTTGATCATAAAAAAAATTTTAGATTTTCAGATTTGATATTTTTCTGTTTAAATAAAGCACGCGAAATAAGTATATAAAAAGGAGGTTACGATCAATTGAAAGTACAATAGTGTTTTTGTTTCACAAATAGAAATTGAAAGCAAAATCTCTCTTTCATGGAAAAATTTTTAATATTGTTACACTGAGTTCATAGATCAAAGAATAAAAATGATAGAAAACTGTATAAGTCAGTGATCGGAATTTCTTCAATAAGAATAGGTTTTTTTTTGTACCGAATTCGACATATCAAGAAAAGTTTTTATATCAAAAAGCGGAAGAGTTGGCAACTCCAATTTTCTTCCTATACAGACATACTATAAACCTACATATTGATAAAATTAGCGCTATCGACACGATGAAGTACCAATATACAAAGGATAAGATACTCTTATATGTTCTCATATAATTAGAGAGATATTTGCTAACGAATAGTCAACTGAAAGAATCAATATTTTTTTTCTTTTACAAATGTCTATATTAAAAGAAGTTATTCAGAAAAATAAATCTTGTTCATTACACTTACTTATCTATTCGATCGATAAGAATTTTTTCTTGTTTTGTTTCAGTATTAAAAAGTATTAATCGTTTACATTGTACATGTGCATGATAAACATCCGATTGAAGATAAATAAATTCATTATCTTTTTTTGGTAAATGTCGTGGATATAATCGACATAATTGATCAAATTCTGTTAATTGTATCCATTCATGATTACGCCAATTACATTTAAATAAAGCAGTTGATCGATTTTCACAATAAATTAAACCTAATCTATATGGTTCAATACGAAATGCAACTAAAATAATTTCATCTGGATTTGTTGTCCATGTACATTGACCAAAATATAAATCTTTTGGTTGATTTTCAATTAATTTAACTTGTTTTGTATCAAGATCAAATATACATACAACTGATGTTTCAAATAATTCCATTTGTTCACCCCAATTTTCTCTATATATACTAGCAGGTTCACCAATATCATCAAGTTTTTCAGCTGTAAAATAAGATTTTAATGGTTTACGTTTTTCTTCAGCTGTAAATATTAATCGACGTGAATCTGGACTCCATTCAAAAAAACTTCCATAATCATTTTTAGGTAAAATTTTACCATGTGGTGATATTTTACTATCATTTATTTCATAACCAAATATTAAATGTTCATCATGCCATATTTGTACATAATATAAATCTTGTTCACCTTTAGTTTCTTTTGTTACAAGAGCAAGATATTGACCATCAGGTGAAGCAAGACGACGAACAATATTTTTATTAATTGGTGTTACATTACTTGTAAATAATAATTGATGATTTTTTAATGAATATGTAAATGAACGAGTATATGTTAAATCTTCTAATTTAACAAGATCCATTGTTGAAAAATAAGGTGTTAAATGAAGAATTTCATCATTAGAATCTTGACGACAAGATTCAATATCAGATAATGTTGGTTGACCAGCATAATGACGATATGTTTCAATAGCTGATGTTAAAATTTTATTATCTATCGTTGTCATTTTCGATCTGAAAAAATAATTTAAGTTTATCTAATCAACTGAATATAAAATATATGTATTCGATCTCATTTTCATCGTTCAGAAAGTATCTTGAAGGATTCCTATCTCTTCTTGAATGCATGAAAATGAACTATATCTATATGTATAATAAAGGAAATATATATATATATGTAATAAATGTCTCTCTAACAAGGGAATCTTCTCAGAAAGCTAAAATTTTTTCTACGAGAAGAGGATATATATGAACTAGAAGAAAAACTAAGAGGAGATAAACATAAGTTGTAGTTTCGTTGAGACACCAACACTTTATTACAATTTTTTATCGGAGTCCTACTATTGCAGTAGAATCAAAGTTTCAAATTTCTATCTGAAACTTTGCTCACATCGAGCCTTTAGATCAAAATTCACAACTATGATTCTACTACAAAATTACAATCCTGCTGTAAAATTGTAGTAAATTATCGATATCCTAGCTAAATCGCAACTTTCGTCCATATCTCTTTAGACTTTCTCTAGTGTATATATGCTCCACTTGTGGAAAAAATTTCAACTCAACAGTTTCTTAGCATATGTGAAGGTTTTCTCATATAAATATTTTCTAGATATTGTAATGATAAACAACTCAATATTCTACAAGAACACATCTCAAGTTAAGCTACAAAATTTTAAACAGAAATATTAGATCAATAAAACTCTGAGGCTCCAACATGCCCAATATGCGAAAATTATTTTTTTCAGAACAATTCAGAATTTTTTTGTCCCGTAGATTTGTATGAATATAATAATATAATAGAGCACTTCGGACGAGAAAAGTCTTTAGAAAAATTCATTTTAGAATTTCGACATGAAGATTTTCATAGAAACTAGACTCACTGCGAATAATTTATTGTGAAGATGCATATTATTTCGTTGTTCCTATCCTAAGATATAGCTATAGTAAAAGTTTGTCCTATACACTATTCATATACATCAGCAGATTTCATGTACTTATTTCAGGATAGAAACACATCAAAAGATCTGAAATTTGCACGATGAATAGTTTCAAGTCAAAATTCGAATACGAACTTTCCTAATGTTTCTGAGATAGATCAAAACCATTGACTAAAAAAAAAACAAAATTAAGCTAAGACCCTGAACTCTTCTTATCATGTTTATAGCTCATTAGGATCTACATGATAAACATAGTTCAAACTTCAAAATGATTAATCAGTTGGAGAACTTTCCTCATGAGTCAATAACACATAAAACATTACTTGTCCTACACAATATATTCTATTGAAGATCTCTATTTACAATCTAGCATTTCAGACTGATGCGCCATTCATTTCTTCTGAAGCTGAAATAAAATTGAAATACTTTGATTAACTTTTTTTGTTGTCCATTAATGCAAACTTTTCTGAAAGTTTTACCAAAATCACAGATTCAAAAAGTTTAGAAAGAATTCATTTGTATGACTGTTCATCTGATTTTGTATTTGAATAAATATGAGCATATTGAACAATTGATACACTAACCGATGATTTATTAAATTTTTATAACTAAATTGATATATAAGATATTGTTTGAAATGAAAATGTTTAGCAAATAATTGTCGAGTACAGAATATTATTTGATGCATTAAAGAAATTTCTGAAAAGAAGAAAAAGAAAAAGACAAACACATGTAGAAAACAATCATCTAAAATAAAAACGAAAGTTTAATCAACTTTCAATTTCTAGTTTTTTCTTTTTTTTGGGTTAAAAAAAACAAAAAAACTTTTTTTCTTAAAGTTTAGCTCGTAATATAATATATTCAACATTTGGTATAAGACGCCATAGTTTTTCATGTACAGGTAAATTATCTTCTTGTTTTGTTTTTGGTGGTAATAATGTTTTAACTATTTCTACAACATCTTTTGCACAACCCCATGAAAGTGTTACACCTGCACCAGAATGACCATAACAATGTACAATATTCATACCATCAATTGTTTTTTCATGTTCAAGACGTACACCATTATCTCGATAAGGTCTTAAACCAACTTGTACTTTTCCATGACGAATTTGTTTAAGAGCAGGAAAAGCTTTTGAACATATACGAAGAATTTTTTGAGTATCATTTTCATCTATTTTAGTATTCCAATCATTTAATTGAAATGTTCCACCTAATACAACTGTATCTGATTGTGGAATAACATATCCAAAACCTTCCTCAGTATCAAATTCATAAACGGATTTAATCCATGGTGCATAAACACGAATAACCTAAATAAAACAAAAAAATCTCAATTCTGAAAGGATGAATCAGTTCAACGTAAAATGTTGGTCAGTTTGTCCCAAATCTGATTGATCGAAAAATGGATCAATCAGATTTCCGGAGAATTTTTCTTTCTAATTATCAGGACAAGTGTCAGCATGTTCCGGTCAATCCTAGAATTGTCGGGGAACCTATATCGAAATTAGGGGTATATGCGTGCAGCTCGGTTTTATATATAACGAAAAGATAGAATCTCGCAATTTGATTGGTCACAAAATGAACCAATCAGATTTCAGGTGAACTTTTCTTTTCTAGGCCCCAGACAGACCGACTTAGTTCAGCTTTAGTTTTTTTCAGTGTTTACGGTCTTATTATCAGGACAACTGCTAGTCATGTTCGGACCGATTATAGAGTTATCGGGGACACTCTCTATTGAAAAAAGGGTATATATATGAAGTTCCGCCTTATTTTCAATCCTGAAAGGACAAGTCTTCGTAACGCAAAGTGTTGGTCAGTTTGCCCATGCTGTAATTGGTCAACATTATCAACCAATCAGATTTTAATAGTAGAGAAAATTGACCAATCCAATTTCATGATTCAGCTAATGTTTCAGGACAGAGATGGACAAAGTCGCACCGCCCCTCCTCGCACCGTTGCTCACGCCTACGCTACACTAGTCTGAGCTTCGATGAGCGCATGCTTAGAGCATCCCGGTATTCGGTGGAGTTTGAGAAACTGATTGGTAGAGCAAAGACAAAGAGAGATGTGCGTAGCGCCTAGGCGCGAGCAGTGGCGCGGGGAAGCGCGGTGCGATTTTGTCCATTTCTGTTTCAGGACTGAGTCAAGCGAGTCTAAAGAAAAAAAACAAAAGTCATTTAATTAAATTTACTTGTCCACGTGCAGGTCGAATTGTTTGATCACCAACTAAATGTCTTGAAGCTAAACCTGAACAATTAATAATAACATCAGCTTTATTTTTTAATTCAGTTAATGAATGAATTTTTTTTTTTAGAATTTTAACACGACAATCTTCTGAAAGATAACGTAATAATTGTGGTAAATATTTAATTACTTCAACAGTAATTGATGACATAACATAACCTGATGTTGGATTTAAATGATCAAACATATTAAGTTCATGTTGATCTAATAATCGAAAATGTCGAACTAATTCTGCAAATTTAGGTTTTTCGAAAATTTTATTATTATCTTTATTTTCACCATTAAAACCTTGTAATCTATATGATGTAACTTTCATAATACCAGCACGAGCAGCTTTTGTTGAAAAAAATTCACTAACAAATATATCATATGTATAACCAGCCCAACGAAGTATTCGTTCATCAATATTTGCAAATCCATAAGGTTCCCAATATCCAGCTGATGTATCACCAGTTGTATCAGGTGTAAATTTTTCACTTATGATTGTTAATTGAAGATTTTCATTTGTTGCATATTCTTTCAATATAGTACATGCTGTTGTTAAACCAATAATACCTGCACCAATAATTGTAATACGATATGTCGTATCATTCGAGGATGACATTATATAGTTGATAGGAAAAAAAAATGAAAACAAAACGAGCTGAGTCTTTTCGATTATCAATACACACGATGATGAAGTGAAATGACTCGCTTATCATTGAATTTCATATGGTTTTGATAAGAAAAAAAAAAGAAAAATCTGTATGTCAATAAACATTTGACATCGAAACAAAAAAGACTAGATATATATAACATAAGAACATATTCATCTTTATTCAATTATATTTGAAATAAGGAAGTAATCAATATTTTCTTTTTTTAACAGGTATAAAGTTTCAGCAATTTTATCAAACAAAAAAAAGTCAAAGAAAAATTGCGAGAAGTGTTTATGTTTTGAGGAGTTAAATCAGAATTAATTAACTATTTTTATTTAATAATATCATTTGTCGAACAAAACTAGTCACTTTTATTAACAATGCACTTTGTTTCATATCACGATTACGTTTACAATTGCAAATGCGACTGATTGTTGAATTCGATTAAGATAGATAGTTTTTTTTGTTTCTCAATTAAATTATAACACGTACATTTATATTTATACTGCTCATATTGAAATTCGAACTTTGATCAAATTTCAATTTTCTTTTTTGTAAAACAAACTAAAAATAGATGCGTTAAAGCATAGCGTGAATGTATTATACTCTATTGTTTCCTGTAGAACATGATAGACATAGTCATACAAAACTTAAGCCTATATATAATTCCCACGGAAAAATTCTTCCGAAAAAAACCGCGGTAATCTGAGGTTAACCGCGGTTTTGTTCCACATTTTGAAAAACCGCGAAAGTCAGACCTTTTATGCAGTTTTTGGAAACCGGCGAAAACCGCGATTTGCAAATACCGCGATGAGAACCGAGAAAACCGCGGTTAGATCTGCAAAAACTCAGCTCGGACCGCGATTTTCTCGGTTGTCACCGCGGTATTTGCAAACCGCGGTTTTCGCCGGTTTCAAAAACCGCATAAAAGGTCTGACTTTCGCGGTTTATGAAACCGCGGTTTTTTCTTGAAAAATTTTTCCGTGGGCAGTAAGCTCAGCTCGATTCTGTTATACATACGAATTGTACTAATAGTATTTTTTTTTCTAATATCATCATTTAAATAAAAATCAAATAATTCATAGTTTATCCAACTTGAACATATATATCCATTTGATAATATTATTCAGTATCAAATATAAGTATTCCATATTAATTGTTCACAGCAAAAATTTGTATATTTCATTTTTCCATAGAAATAATTTTCTTTTTATCAATAATAAAATCGTTCATTTATCTTTTAATCAAATCAATTATTATTATTATTATCTACAAAACACATCTCTCTTGATTTTTATTGTATGACACCAAATTATAATTAAACATTATACAAATATAAATAGACTATGAATTAATGAGAAACAAGAAGAAGAAGAAAAAAAAAACAAATATTTCATTCAATAAGACCATGATTAGCAAGTGAACGAGTTAGAAATGATGTTGTAGCGCCAAGTTTAAATCGTTTACTACTCAATGTTTGAACAGGTACAACTAGAAAAAAAGAAAAATCAATTGTTATAGACAAATCAAATAAAAATTCTAATGTTTTTTTTTTCTTCAAAGCAAAACATTTGAATTGTTCTATTATTAACCTAAAAAGTACTCTTGCTCATCAAGTAATAAAAATTTTATATATAAATATTGTTAAAGAAATAAATAATTTCAATGGATTATTGTTTAGTTTTATGAGATATTTCATTTTTTCGGTTAAAGATTTATACATATATCATTTAACTTAATAACTCTTTACATTTGTTTATTTTTAGACTATGCATTAATCTCATAACAAAAGAAAAGACGGTTTTTTTTACTCACGAAAGAGACTTGTAGAACAAATAAACTTAAATACACAGTCAATTAATCTATTTATTAATTTATATTATTACTTTGTACTTATTCAGATAGGATGAATTTCTATTATGTGAGTAAGAGTTAATTAATAGGATTTGCTTTTTCAAATCTTTATAAATGAATTATTGAAGTTAAATCATAGGAATATTTTTATTTTTTACCATGACGCTTTGGCTCTTCTTCTTCTTCTTCTTCATAAGAGAAAAGACCAGTTGGTCGTCGAATTTCATTATTAACACTTAGTACTTCTACTTTTCGACGTTCTTGTGGTTCATCATCATCATCATCATCATCTCGTGTTCGTTTAAGTGGACTAATCATTACAGTTCGTTTTGGTATTATTGTAATATCATTTTTATTTTCAACAAGAGAAACTTGTCGTTTCATATTTGTACGTAAATCAATTTGACTATCAACTGTTGATGGTTCAATTTTTTTTTTAATTATTAAAAATGGATTAACAAATTTATTAGCTAAATTTGTCATTTTTTTACTTATTAATGATGTTTGTCGTTGAAATAATGATGTTGAAGAATCTAATCGTTTAAGACGATCAGTACCAAGAACTTTTTTTTGTAATGATATTGTATCTATAGACAAAAAAAAGCGATTTAATATTTAAAAAAAAAAAATAATATAAACCAGAAAGAGATTTTATTGTTCGCATTCCATGAATTGATGTCGATGGAATTTTTTTCAATACATCTTGATATTCAAATGTTGATGATGCTAATTTAGTTTGAATTTTTCCATTATCATCAACAATAAGAATTTTTTCTTCGGATTCTATAAGATGATTAAAATTCTTTTTTCGTATATCATTTATTGTTTCAACATATGGATAAATAACTGAAGTTGGACCTATATAAAATTTTTTTTGAAAAAAAAAAATATATATATATATATATATATGTTTTTTTACGAACGATCATTAAATGAAATTCTTGAAAGCATTGCTGGTGATAAATTACATGTTGATTTTGATAAAATATTTGAATTTAAACGTGTTGTTTGTTTATTATCAATACAATTTTCAATAACACGATTACCAACTGAAATATAAAATAAAAATATTAAATGAAATCTTTTTATCTTAGATATTTTTGTAATTACTAATTGATCGTCTTTTTAATGTTAATGATTGATTTGTCTAAAGAAAATTTATTATAATGAATAATTAGATTTTTTTTTTTATGATTTACTTTATCATTTAAAAGTTGAGCTTGTTTCATTAAACGAGTACGATCAATTTGATTAGTAATACCTAATTTATTTAATTCATTATCATTACTTGCTAAAAGTTCTTCGATAGTTGCAAAACGATCAGCTAATGTCATACTATATTTCAAAAGAGTACTATTATTAACTGAGAGATTCGAGTCACGCACAAATTTAAGCCAAAAGGACATATCTATATGAAACAGAATAAAAAAAAGAAATTTATTATCTGATACAAAGAAATTAATGAATATCTACCTGATGTCAATCGATCAGTCATTTTTTTTTAAACACACTTAGCAAAAAATTAAAGACAAAGAGAATTTTAACAAAGAAAGAATAACTACTTGATGTTATGAAACAACAAAAGTCAATTAACCAATAGCCATTTTATGAGAGAGGACGCTATACAGCGATGACAGAACTGATTGTTATTACAAACACGATATCAAAAAAAGAAATATAGTCATCAATGTACCAACATACAATATAACAGACCCATTAGAAATATCTTCATTGTCATAGATTGTTTAAGACGTAGGCAAACTACCATCACAAACTCTAACAGACATAGTTACGAAAGAGGGCAAGAAAAACGGAAGATTGTGATAACACAGAGAGTGACCACGTACAGCTAATTTCATCATACTTGTCATGTTTTCATATACAAGTGACTTCATAGGCAAATTATAATAATTTTACATCGGCTTTAGATATATAGTAACCTATATTGAAGAAATTACAAACGAATGGAGATTTAATACATAATAATGAAGATTCAGCCACTTTCATCTGCTCGCATCATTCGATATAATTCATGTGCGACCAAGACTTAGATCTGTCGATCGTAATAAATGTATGTAACATGATTATCTTTTCAATGTCAATTATTTGAAAATATAAGACTTGATTACAAGAAGATATCGACAATATTATAGAAACAGGGGAAACTATATCTATTTACATCAATGAAATAAGTTTTTCTCTTTAAATTACATGAAAAAGACATATCAACATTGAAAACATTCGATAATTCATCTTGCATGACATGAAATATTGTATAAGTTCACACAATTAGCTAACTGACGATAATAAACAGGAAAATCATTTGAAGTTATTAATAATAAATGGTCGGACCTATAAGACAGTAGCGAAAGTATAGAAAACAATATAAATTATTTGATAGTTGACTTGAAAATTATTACACTCTAAACATAATTACATCAAACAATTATAATCGATATCATTAATACAATAAAAAGTTTTGGTAACCATATTGTACCAGTAATATTTTATTGTAGTAGAATGAAACAATTATTTTCAATATGTGTCACATACCAATGCTTATAATATTCTTATTTCATATTTACACAAGAATAGGTATGAGAAGATGACTATCTATATTGATTATCAAGAAGTCTAGTATTCAATAAACAATACTAGGCATAAAGCGTTAGCTTTGAACGAAGAAAAAACTAAAAATAGTTACAGAATTCGAGTACCTAGAATTTATGTGAACTAATAGATTGACTCTCAAAGCAACAATAGATAAGTGTTCAAGAATTATCCAGATATCTCCCTATGAAAATTTTGATGGCTAAAAATTCGACGAAACTTACATTCCCAAATGAGCTTCATCCTTGTTTTCTTTCTTGCTTATTGTCATTTTTTTTCTCTTACTTTTGCTGATATTCATCAACGAAAATTCTTCATGAACCTTTGAATCGTATGCCATTGTTTTTTCATCTCTACACACAACCTATAAACGTATCATTTATTTTGAAATATTCTTTAGAATTTTATGTTAAAAACTATATTCAAAAAAAGATCGAAAACTATACATGTAACTAATTTTGATTCGTCGCTTATTTTTTTTTATAATGATATTTTTGTCTGGAACATACTGTTTTTTTTTTGTTTTTACAAGCCATCATCTCAGTCAATTGTTTTCTCACAAGCGGCATACATAGTTATCATTAGATCGACATGAATCTTATCTTTTATTAAATCCTTGTGGCAGACATTGATGAGTGAAAAAAAAAAGCGAAATTTTTCAAAATAAATGAGAGATTACCTTTCGATCTCGTATCGCTTGGAACATCTATGTAAAGAAATAAAAATGAATTAGATACATTCATTATTTTGTTTCTAAGTTCCTTATTATTTTTATGATATGTATACAAATATGAATCATTATTCATTCTAAGTACTAGCATCATATCAAAACATGCTTTGCAGTTTAATCTTCTTCTCAAATGTGTAAGTACTTCGAAATATTTTATTCTAAATTGAAATAATAAAAATATTTGTCTTTTTCTCTCTTCCTACATACAGTACAAACACATAGTTTGTCATGATACAGGCAATGCATAGCAATACACAAACTCAAAAATATCTCATTTGATTTTTTCATTTACAAGAAGAGAAATTCCATCATGTTTTAAATTTTTTATCTCAAAGGAATTTTGCTACATACTTTTTTTTTCATATCTTATTAAAGGATAGTACAAGCATAGCTTCGAGAACTTATTCAGAGACAAATGTTCAATACAATAATCTTCTTCAATAAGAATTTAACGATTGAATTCGTTATTATTATGTTGTATTTTTTTTTTTTCATTTTTCATAAAAGAATTAAGTAAACACTTTTATGACTCATTAAAACTTCTTATCTATGACAAACGACCGTCATAAAAAATGATGATATTTAAGTATATATAAGATAAACCTTTTTCTTGTTCTTTATATTTATATATCAACATTCACTGATAATATCTTATACAATGAGTGAATCGTATCCACCACCACCAGCTTACGAAGAAATCGGCAAAACTTTAATACCTGAAAATTCTGATTCAAATCAGTTTGTACAAATTTTTTCTCTCTGCCTCAAAAAAAAACTATGTTTGGTTTTTTTTTGTTCTATTTTAATATAGGCAAGCATGGTATAAAAAATTAATTGCATTAAAATTCACTGAACAAGAAGCAAATGAATATACAAAATTATTTGTAACAAATGAAATTGAAATTAATATGATTCCTGAACTTAGTGATGCTATTCTTCGAACGATTGGCATTGATAAAGCTGGACAGTAAGTATAATATCTATAGTTACCTATTACAAGAAGAAAATGTTTTTTTTTTTTCTTTGTTATCTAGTCGTATTCGAATTCTACGTCTTCAAAACAAAGGTAATATTTCAACAGCAGCAGCAGCAGCACGTCCAATAAGAGTTGCTCCTCCAGTTGTTAATGTAAATGAGAGATTGATTATTTATCTTTTATTCAATTGAATATTTTTTAGAGTCCACGATGTGCTTGGCATCGAAATGTAGTAGCTAATGAAAAATGTTGTAAATGTAAACGACTTGTATGTTTAAATTGTCGTCGAGAAAAAGCAGGCGATGGTACTCGACGATATTATTGTCAAGAATGTTATGATGAATGTATAATTCTTTGAAGAATATAATCATATTATGTTTTATTTTTGAATTCATTTGAATGAAAAATAAAAAAAATAAAAACATTGCATGAATTAAAAGTTTTATTCTGTTTTTTTTTCTCTTTGTTTTGGCGTTCATTTTAATATTGTAAATCACATAGTTAAACTATACAAAAATTTTTTTCAAATAAAGTTATATTGAAAAATAAAAACAAAGTATTTTAAAGAAATTCTTAACAAGTACTATCTGAAACATCTATCTCAGTTGACTATGTCATCTGTTAGACGAGCAAAAAATGAAAGGTTATGTTTTTTTGAAACGTAACGTTGTTCGTAAGCAGTCGAGCAATGTGAATTCAGAGAAGATTTGAAAAAATTAATTTCAAATGTATCCTTTACTAGTTCCTAGGAATAGAGGTGTAAGCCGTGCGGCTGAGCCGCCGTCGCCGCCGACAGACTCGAAAAATTTTAAGCCGCCGCCGCCGCCGCCGTGACAGTAGCAATTTTGGAAATTTTTAAGCCGTCGCCGCTGAGACACTTTAATTGCAGCCGCCGCGTCGCCGATGGTATTCAAAATTTTAAAATTTTCGAGCCGCCGCCGCTGGCAACTAGCATAAATAAACGTTTTATTTATATTTTCTTTAATTTGGTACTTTGACATCTTGGAATCCCAATAAATCTCTTCTTCATTATCTTCCTCGTCTTCAACTTCACTTTCGTGCTGGTTCTTTGACCAGTCAGGTGCTTGGGGTTCTAAATTGTAAACAAACCCTTAATTCTGTGTTGGTTGAAAATTCTAAGTTATCATTTCAGTTGTTTATGTCTTTATATTAGATATATTAATGAATACAAGAAGAGACGAGCATTTTAAATTTTGATTAACAAAAACAAAATAAAAACAACAAACTTGAATACGCTAAGTGCCTTTACTTATTAACAATCGTGGTGGTGATTTTTCATTTATTATTTACCCTCGCAATTATATTTATTTTTAATTTTAGACTTTTTTTTATTATGTCTAGATGTGAATTAAAGTTTTTCCACATATGTGTTTGAAGATAAAAAGGTCGAGATATTGAAATAGGCCTTGTCTACACTAAAAATTATTGATGGTAAATTAAGAAACATGATTGGTTAAACAGTTAATAAACATTTAAAACACTTTTAAAAAGTGCATTAAATTTATTGTACTATTCAGAACCACATTAAAGTTGATGCACCAATCAAAGTTTGATTGGATTTTCCAATGAGACTGACGCAGTTTTCAATGAGCGATTCCTCTATGATTGAAGTGAACAAAAACTACGATTCATTTCAAAGTCAAGGATTCTGATTGATGCATTAACTGACAAATGTAGACACGAATTGATTTAATACGAATTGAATACTGCATTATCCTCCTCGTGTAGACAAGGTTATAGACTAATTTATTTATGATAACGTAGTACTTTTTAAACTTCAAGCCGCCGCCGCTGAGACACTTTAATTACAGCCGCCGCGCCGCCGATGGTATTCGAAATTTTACAATTTTCGAGCCGCCGCCGCTGTGCAATCTTGGAACATCAAATCTGCGCCGCCGAGCATTTTAAAAAAATTTTAAAAAACTGGCGCCGCCGCTGATCAGCCTATCGGTTTACACCTCTACCTAGGAATCATTTAGGACCATGATAGGATTAGGAAGGGCGAGGTACAAAGGGATGATAATCTGCTTTTTAAAAGATTTTTTCACACGAAATGAATTTACTCCACACTGGATAGACTCAGAAAGTGTGTTCTGCCAATAAGCGTGTCCTTCATTTTCAAAATCCTAAATTAGCTACAACTAAGAAGTATTGTAGAAAATTTTTCTCAATATCATGACAAATCGATCTTTTATACTAGAATGTTGAACAGTATATATTACTAAATTTTCTAATGTTTTATAAGATACAAATCGAAAAAATGATTCAGTAAATTTTGTCTCTTCACTTATCTTTGGTACTGTTATTCAACATAAGCATAGGCTTGCCTCATAATTACATAATACTAGTGAAAACTGTCTTTTAAAAATGAAAATATTATTCAAAGTTATATCAGCGAGTGTTGATATTGCAAAAAAAAAATAGTCTTCAATTTTGTTTTTTCTTTATTTTTGTGTGTCTTGGAAATAATTAGACAATTTTAAAATAGTTGATCGCTTTCTATATAAGTGTTATCCGGTAGTGATCAATTATTATAAACATGTAATATACCTCCTTTATTTATTAAAATTATTGAATGGTTCACATTCTATTCTTCTATATGGTCATGACACACTCGTTAATCGTAGACTCTAAAATTAAAACTAACAGCTTATTGTTTTAATAATTATTTGCTATTATTCTATTTGACGCATCCACTTATAAAACTGATCGATAACTATATGTAAATTTTAGGTTCATTAATAATAAGGAATTTAGATACATTGTTAAAATGTTGATTTGCTTTGTACTTAGTAACTATTATTAATTGCTGATATACTGCGATATGTCGATATATTTGAATTTATTTATTGGTATGAATAAAATTATAAAACTTGTTTTTATTTTTCTGGTCGCTGATGTTTTGTATTGAAATTTTTTCTAATTTCCTATAGACCGCTTATAAAATGCAAGAATTGAAATTACAACATTTTTCATTTTTTATTAGAGAAATTCATTTCTATTTTCATAGAAATATCATAGCTGAAACGAAATTAGCAGGAAGTGTGTATCGATCTCTTAATTTGACAATGTTGTATTTTACTTTTAGCTAATCATTTGAACTGATACTTGTCGCTCAATGTTATATTTAGCGTACAGGCACATCTGTGTGAGAATAGCAAAAGTCTAAAGAGTTTATCCCTATGAGCCGTTGAAGCCAAATTATGATCGTTTTCTTAAATTTTTGACTCAGTTTTAGGTACCTACTGAAAAATCAAAACACAGAATTCGAAAAGTTTCAGTCGAAAATAAGATTCTTTTATTGATATATAAAATTGTGCACAGGAAGATGAACTTTTTTTGACACTTGTTAGTTTCACTAAGGCACCATCGCAGGTTTAATATGAACTCAAACGATGAGTGTTCGTTTGTAATACTTTTCCTCTACGAAAGTTATTAGTTCTTCATGTTTGTTTTCTTAAAATCAAATTTAAATTTAAATATTATCTTTTTTTTTTTAACAAATTCACAGAGGATATTCCTCTTCTTTTCTTCTTTTTATTCTGTTCTTTCGTCGAATATTTTGATATTTATCAACATCAAAATGAAGAGAATAAAACAACAACGAATGTCTTCTAATAAATATATCATTTATGATGATGTAGTTGCAGTTGTAGTTTTTCCTGAACGTTTACCAGTAGTAGCTGGTGTTGTTGTTGTTGTTGTTGTAGTTAAAGCTAATCGTTGACCACGAAGTAAGGCAGAAGCACGACGAAGTGCAGCCTAAAACGAACAGAAAACTTCGTTTGATATAAATATGAAATTATTTAAATCAAACTAACCATTTTAAGATCTTTACGATAACGTTGTTTACGAATTGTTCGTCTAATACTAGTTAATGTACGACGTGAATCCTTAGTAAGTTTAACCTTACGAAAACGTTTCATTGGTTTTTTGACATCTGAATAATCAATTATTCAAAAAAAAAAAAAAAAAGAAAAATAACTAAATTCATACTTTTGGTACTGCCTGTTGTAAAAACAACACCTTTACCATTTTTAATAGCTTCAACACCAACTACTTTTGGATGAATAAGACCATTAAAACGAAAGTTATTACGATTTTTTAAATTATTTGGTTCCTTGAATTAATTTTGACAAAATTTAAGAAACAAAAAAAAAAATAAGAAAATTCAATTACGAACTGTTGTAAATGTGCCCAATTTTCGTTTATGTAAAAATGATGAATTATTACGAATAACCATCCATTGAACATGAGATGAAGCTTGATCAAATCCTAGAAATTTGTCATCATTTTAAAATAAATAATTTCAAATAGAAAATAAAAAAAAAACAAAACAAAACTTACGTCCACGAGGCATTATTTGGGCGACGAATTACAAAAACTATTAAATCTAAAATAAAAATAATAAAAAAAATAATTCACTAAACTTCTTATTCTATCAAAGAAAATAAATAAAAGAAAATATACATAATCAATAATCTTTCTTCTGTCTTATTTCTTTATTGGTTAACATCCTTAGCCATCCTGAGATGTATATCTCCGTACTTCGTTCTATCCTTGATGCACTAATGTGTCAGTAGGTTTTTTTTCGAAAGACGTCGCTAACATCGAGCTGAATCATGCTTAGAAATCTTTTGATCGCAATAAGCAGAAAATAAAAGCGTACTTTTGAAAAATAACATATTTCTTGTGAGTGTATTTCCGTTTTATTCACAATGATCATTAGATTTCTATTTTTTATCTATTATGATTCTCCTCCTACTGTTTGTGATTATCGTTATTTATCAAAAATTATCAATAAGACTCATAAAAATTTCTGAAATCTACAGATTGTTAACAGCTTATATCAAAATCAAATTCAATACTAGATTTTTTCGAGTTTATTTAAAACAAAGGAGATTAATAAGCGTAGAAAAATACAACCAATTTATTTAGCAACAAAAATGTTCAAAAAGAAAGGCAATGTATTTGTTTCCAGATAGTTATTTTTTTGGAAGCAAAACTTGCCTAGAATAACACAGGAGAATATTCGAAGTGAAAATTGGTTTTAAGTTATTCGTTCTAATGTAGCAATTAATAAGAAACCTATTATATCTAATAATTATTCATAATAAAATGAATAGCATCCGATTAGCATAAACTATAGGTCTTCAATACTACATTGGTATTCAGTCAATCTTTTTATCTATAGTTTTGTATATTTTCGCAGTAAACATGTAGTTTATTCTGGGTATTGCGGCTTTCATTTCTTTTATTTTCTATCATAAACATTGAAGAATTTCTTTTAAAAAGGTAATATTTATGAGAAAAAAAAAAAAATTTTTTTTTTTTTTTTTTAGATTTTATATAAAATGATTATCGGACAAGTATTATTAGGGTTAACAGGTTTAGGTCTATCCATCTATGCATATTATGTCAAACAACAACTTAAAAAAAATCCAAAATATAAAGCTCTATGTGATTTAGGACCAAATATAAGTTGTACTAAAGCATTCTCGAGCAAGTTAGAAAAAATAATCTAAATTTTTTTTTTTCTCATATGAATTAGATTTTATATTAAATAGATATGGTACTGGATTTGGACTTTCAAGTTCATTATTTGGTGAAAATAGTATTATGAATGCATCAAATGTTAATTTCGGTATTGGATTTTATATTTTTCAAATTATATCAGGTGAAAAATTAATTATATATTTCATTTTTTTTGATCATAAGAAATTATTTTTCATTATAGGTTTAATAGTAATATCATTATTTAATAAATTAGCTTTATTTTCATCAGTATTGTCTTGTATTAGTTCAATTTATTTGGCTTATATTCTAGCATTTATTCTTAAAGATTTTTGTCTTGTTTGTGTAATAAGTTATATAATTAATTTTGGTCTTCTTTGGTCAAATATTCAAACAGTTTATTCAAAATAAACAATAAATAAAATATATATTTATAATCAAGCATTTCATTTACAATAATTTATTATTAAACTAGCATGTTATTTTAGATAGATTAATTTTGAACAAATTTTTTTTTTTTTAGTGAGTTTATATTATATAAATATGTATTTTATTTTAAATAAAATCAAAAGTTGAATACAAACCTAAACTAAATTGATTTACATAATTAATATATATATATATAATAAAAAGCTGTTAGCACAATCTTTATGAGATTAAAATGTGAAACATGATATAGTTACTATTGTTCATCACAGAAAGATTATTTTATTCTATGTACTTTGAGGACATTGTTCTTTTTTTCAACAACCTTTCCTAGACATGCAATAAAGGTTCATTATAACGAAATGTAAAATCATATATGAATAAGATCAATCATGATCTATAATGTAGGAATGACAGTGCAAAGGAATGTTTGTTACATGTTCCAAATTTTTATTCTTATATATATTTCGACATTCTTTTTTTTTGAATCATATTTCTTAATTAATGTATTTCAGTAACGGAAAACCACATGGATTATAAAAGACAATCATTAGGATGGAAAATTTATTCTAGATAAGATTCAATTAAGAAAGTATTTATATGAATAATAATTAGCATATATGTAATTAGTTTTCTTAAATACAATCTAAAAAGAATGTTGAAGTATGTAGGGCGAATCTTGATGGGAAATCTTTGAAATATAGTGTCGATTATATTAATTATTTTTGCGTTTTTCTTTTTTTTCTTATAGTAAAGTATTCCGACCTAATGCATTCTTGATTATACTATTTTTCTCCTACAGATCATATTAGATGTTATTTATATATGATCACATACCGTATTGGAATAACATGCCATGAAAATCTGTGAACTACTTTTCTATTACATTACTTGTAGAATCAGATAAAAAAAAAAGGAACAGTTAGTGAAGAAATATATCTTAAAATAGATAGAATAAAGCAATCTTCTTATGACTAGCATGAATGACTACATCATATTTTACATATTAATCCTAGAGGAATTACGCTAATAACTTTTTTGTTTTGTATAGTGCACAAGATATTTGACGAAATAAGATTTATGGTACTTAACAGATTAAATGATTGGTTTTCAAACTTATCATTAGAGAAAAAAAAATTCAAGAAATATAAGCATAATGTTCCTATTCAACTCTTATTTGAATAATCTATACATGTTTATGTATGACATCCGACTTCATATGAAATTCATTAATATTACTAGATAATCAATAAACATCAGAATGAATGTTCTTTTAACCCAAAAAATTTATCATGTTCTGACAAACAGAACGTATAGCTATGCTGTTCTATCGTGATATTTATTGAACTGCTTCAATATTTCGATTGTACCCGTTTGTATATAGATATGACCCTGCACGAGGTCACAAGAAAAAAGAATAAGGTGTATTTATCATCAAGATTAATACTAAGCGCACCGTTATTTAGAGAAGTCACGTACAATATAAAATAGAAATCAAAGGTCAAAAATTCAATGATGAAATAATATTGTATGTTTCTGTTTCAATATTTAATGCTGATATTAATCATCAAGATTTACTGAGGGGATTCTTTTAAGTCTAGAACAAGCTTAAAAGAATTTGTCTCCATGAATCTTTGAAATCGATTTATAATAGTTTTATTGAATTTTTGAACAATTTTTAGTATTTACTGAAAAATCAAATAATAGGATTTCAACTTGAGTTCTAGCTCTTAGATAGATCTATAGGTACAGTTTCCGATCAAAACCTTATTATTTCGTTTTTTCGTTAAATAACTAAAAAAACAGGTTGAAAATTTAGTAACACGATCATAACTTGACTTCAAAAGTTCATAGAGCAAACTCATTTAAACCTTTTTAAAATATCCTAGTACGCCTAATATAAACTTAAACGATAGTTTTTCTAGTCAGGATAATTCTCTTGTGAAAAATTAATCTACTTTTTTCGAATTGTCAATTAATTGAAGAAAAATATAATATGAAACATTTATTCATACATTAAAAAGAGGCTTACAAAATATTTCTTTTCATATCAAACAATCAATTAGTAAGATCTTACAAGATTAAATGGATATTGTACGAATAATAAGATTTTATGTATTAGTAAGATCTTTTAAGAATTTTATTAGACAATATAGCGTAAAATTTCAGAGACAATAATTTTTCGTACAACTTTTCGTTTGTTCCGTAAGAATCGTACGTCTGATTTTTTTTTTAATTTTATTCATAAATCTCATCAATTCGACATTAACGATATGAAAAATAAAGTTAATTTATCAGATCTTTAATTGAGAAATTTATTATTACTCATATATCATAAGTCATTGATCATATAATAGGCAAACGAGAAAAAGATTCATAGAAAAAAAAAACACGAATGTACTTGGAAATTCTGAAAAAGAACATATTTACTCATGCATATGAAGAAGCTCGAGGAAAGGAGAAAAAGTGCTAATAATACCATATTATCAAACTCATAGAAAAGAAAAAAGAGAAAATGCATAAACTACACTGTCATTAAAAGACAACCTTGCACAATGAGCCGATGATTACTGACAATTGCGTTATTAATGCATATACATTGTAAAAAGTCTTGTTATCAGGTAAAAATGATTTAAACTTTATCCGTTATGTCTCATCATTCGACTACAAATAGAGCATATTGAACTCTAATCGTAAGAACTACTCAGGACTTGATCGACCTTCATTCAAAGAAGTTCGAAAGTGAAGATAGACTTTTTTTTCTTCAGACGAGAATATTTTCAATATAGACAATAAATGTCATGATGGTAGACTTCGCTTCATTCCATAGCTCAGTGGTACTTTGATCATTAATAAAAATTTTATGTCACATAGTTTTACATTGTCTGATTTATGAAATATTCTTTGAATAATCTTTACACGAGAGTTGATAGAAATCGTCGAAAAGTGACTAATATCTTCAGTTAATTTTAATGATTTACCTTGAAGGGAGAAGAAATTCATGATTAGACTATTCCAGACAGTAGAGGCATCGCAACGCTTTAAGGTTACAGCGGATTAAAGTACAATATCTGTAAATCAGAATAAACCTGCAAAATCTTTATTTATTAATAATAAAATGGACGTTAGTGTATTTAAATGGTGAAAACTCAAAAAAATGTTTAAAAAAATCTTTTTTCCGAATTCTAGAGAAAAAATTAGTGTTTTCATTGTAAATTTTTTGCAACAAGATTTACAGACTTGAGGTTGCTACTTGCCATCAACAAGGTTTATCGAGCTCTATTTTTTGATCGAAATATTAGGTTAAACGACTAAAGTTCTATGCTCTTTTTATCTGGTAACAAGACTTCCAGCGACTACTATAGAACAAGGACATATAGTTTTTGCATTTTTATAATTTAATAATAAAATCGTGTTGCATAGTTATTCATTTCAAAAGAAATATCATTTTTGATAAGAATATTTTCAAGTGAGTAATATATGTATTTTTATTATACATCTATTTTAAAGTATTGAACCAAAATAAAAAAAAAAGGATTTATGTTAAAAGATTTCCAGAAACCGAAACTAGGCACTGTAATGAATCATACAACTATATAAAAATTCGATTGGAGAGTCTTATAAGAATAAGCATAGTATTGAATGATTCATTGTATCGACTACGAACATTTACAACTAGACTAATTTTGATTAATTATTCAAAAAATCATTTCAAATTATAACCTACAAATTTTACTCTACAAAAAAGTACATGATTGATAATTGTTTCCGTCCTCTATCTATGATATGTAGTCCATATTATTTCGTCTAAAGGTCAAAAAAACGTCATAGTCACACAAGTTTCTACCGTAGGGAGGTAAATAAAGAAAAAGCAAATGGAAGTCAAAGAACAGAAAAATAACTTTTTTTTCGCCCGACATCAAGCCATAAAATAACCACCTTCGATGAAAAATTATGGTGATAACTTTTATATTTACTTATTGACCATTATCTAATAATCATTCACAAAAAAAAACACAACATTTATAGTATATACAATTGTAATATGTAAGTTAAATCTTTGTTTTTTGTTGTTCTATTCTTCTGGTAACACTGATAAATGAATTAAGCACTCTACATGACCTCTATTGGGTACTTTGAATGAATAATATTCATGTAATGATTTTTTTTTGAATATAAAAACGAATTTAGATTTCTTATTTAAGAAGTAATTTAAAAATAAATACCAACTACCATAACTTTATCGTTATCTGACTGTTTTTTTTCTTTTTATTAATAGAAACATAAAAAAGACTTATGTTACTAATAATAGATATATTAGAAATTTTTATAAAAAATATCTACCAAAAAATTCTTCTTATTATTGAATATTGTATTTTTTTTTTTTTAAATTCTAATTATTTTATTTAGAATTGGAACATTAAAATGTCGTCTACTCCACTATCATTTGATGAAACAGAACCAACAACAAAAACAAATAATACATGCCAAGTATGTGGAGACAATGCGTCAATTATTAATTATGGAGCATTAACTTGTTTATCATGTCGAACATTTTTTCGTCGAAATGGTTTTCATACTAAAGTAATATTTAAAGAAAAATAATGAATACATAAATAAATAATATATTTTTTACTTTAGGAAGTTGCATCATGTCGATTTAATGGTCATTGTGAAATTACTGTTTCAACAAGAAAACATTGTACAGCATGTCGCTTTACTAAATGTCTAGCCGTAGGCATGAGTCCTGAATTAATTAGAAAAGAAGATTTAAGTGGAAAAAAACGTAAATGTTCTAAATCATTTAGTCAAGAACTTGTTGAATATCAACGAATAATGGTGCGTACAAGTTAAAAATTATTATTAATATGTTTAATACTTAATATATAACATAAGATAGGCAGTTATATGAATGAAGAAAATAGAATTCTAGGCGAAATAAAAAAAAATGTTATATTTCGAAATTACTTTTTTGAAAAATTCAAATAAGTAGATTCTTATGAGTTATGAAAAATCTAAGAAGAGTTTGAGTCCTTGATTTATTACAGTGCACTTTTTAATGAAATGCTATAGTCTCTTTCAGGTAAACTCTGCATAGAGAAACTGATTTTAATGAAAATCGTTTATTGTGAAATTTTCATTGTGCGTTCTGAGAAGAGATATGACATTAAGTTCAAAAGTGCAATAATGTTGACTGTAGTAAATTCAGAGTTCGAATTCTTAGGATATATCATAGGTTGTTACAATCTTCATGATATACATTGTCTTGAATCAATAGTGATTAATCAGTTTGAAAACTTCTTCTACAAGTAAAACATCGTTGAACAAAGTAATATTTTGATATGAAATATCAGAAAATTTCAGTAGTGATTTAACTTTTATTAGACAGTTATTTTTGAATAATAATCATTTCTTCTAAATTTTCGCTTATTTTTATGTAATTTGACAAATTAAAACATCTAGAAATCTTCCTTATAGAAAATTGTAAGAAACAATATTTCTCAAATTTCGGTAAAAAAAACGAGGGGAGTCGATAACTGATGAAATCAGCCGCCTATCGGAATATGATTCCTGATAGTATTAGGCCTCTAACGCTTGTTTGTACTGTATCCCAACCGATTGAAATAGCCAATGACTGTCTTACATATATCACCGCGCTATTGACAATGACCACCTACTAACTCGAAGACCGATCAGACTAACCCAGGTCAAGCTCGGTACGTCGAAACCGATCGGTTCCGTTGAATTCCGACGATTTCTTTACTACAGGATTCCGGTCCAGATTTCGTCGGACCAGTTCCGATCAGTTTCCATCGGTTCCGTCGAATTCCTGGTCGAAATTTTGCGGAACTTAACGGAATTTTTCCGGCGGAAACTGGAACGGAATCCTGTAGTCAAGAAATCGTCGGAAGTCAATGGAGCCGACCGAAAACCAACGGAATCTATAGGATCCGCTGCCGGAAAACAAAGGAAACAAACGGTTCCGGCGATCGGAACAGTGGACCTGGGAATATCCATATGGTCCGATAACACTTTTCAACGGCTTCAAAATCGTATTAAAACGTCATAAAAAGACACTGTCCGATATGAAATCATATAGAGTACATTGTCGTGATATGGCTCTTGTATGAATATTGTCGATCGAAAACTTATGTCAACATCAACCAATCTTATCGCTAATCAAGCTGTTTGTCATATGGTTCGATAGTAACTTTCAAGCACTTAAAAATGGTATACAAACATGAATAGAAAAATTCTGGTCACATAATGATATCTCAAGAAGATTATTGTCGAGACACGATTTACTGGTTTTGTGAAACTGATGTATATTTTCGAAGAAAATATAGTGAGTGTAATAACTATTTTAAATTAAGAAAAACGCTATTTGAACATGGAAAAAACCGAGAGAATAGCAATTATGCAATTTTTATCCGATCGTAGGAAAACTACGAATGAGTTTTTCAATAAGAAAAAAACAGGTTGCAAAAACTTTTAAAATATATATAGGCCTACTCCATTTTGGATGATGATTCACAATAACAGATTAGTTTTTTGTCTAAATCATATTTTTACAATTAAAATCTACTAAGGTTTCAGGCATAGTAAATCATAAAATTTTGTCTTGAGAATAGTTTTCTTAGGATTTCTTTCTGCAGCCAGTGTTTTTTCCTCGATGTTTTTATACCATATTGAAGTGCTCAAACGGTAGTATCGCACCATATGAAAAATAATCTTGGTCGTTTTATGAGGTGAATAAATAACAAGTGCTGATTATTATCATCAATAGTTGGATTCAATGTATATATGATGGCCATTGATTATTTCAACATCGACCAATGAACATAACAAATAAGTGCTATATGACTAATCCAATCAGGAGTCAGTGTCGCACTTCTTATATTATAGTTTTATATATAAACTAAATCAAATTTCATGAAGGGGCCATTTTCAAAAGTTATTGACCGCCTCCTTTCATTCAAATAATCATTATTAAATAAGAATGTTCGATTAGAGTACCTTCTAACGAAATTTTCTAGTCTTCTAACCTAAAAAGGTTCTAAGTAGAAAAATCTTGGTTACAAAAACTAGGACACGAAACCTCAAAACTTGCAGTATCATACGACATCTACTGATTTCATCGAAATATTAATGAACCTAACATATTTAGTTTTAATCATTTAGTCTATCGTTTTTGTTAATAGTTAATTTAAATATCTTACATTGATAAAACAAACTTTTAGCACAAATATGTCTTAATTTAATTATAAAAAAACATAACGGAGATATTTCAACAATACTTTTTACCCTTAAATGAAAGCATTGGACAAAAAAGTCACAAACTGATCATATTACATTTTATAAAGATTACTATGTACTATTTTTTCAATACAAAGTGTGCTCCGCTATTTTGTTTTGGTGAAAAACTGTTGATTGAAACATTATAGAAATCTACCCCTAGTCCTCTCTCCCCAACGATATCACCAGGGAGTCCCCTAAAAAATGCGAAGTCTCTAGCGAATCCCTGTCGTGAGTCCCCGGTGGAGTTGCATATCCCGGGAGTCCTCAAATTTTATGAAGTCCCTCGAAAATTTTCATAAATTAGAATTTTCCAGAGCATTCCAATGGTGGATTCTAGAGAGACCTGGATAATACTCATCAACTCCCTGGGGAATCCTTAGAGAGTCCCTAGGGCGTCCCTTGGGAGTTCCTGAATCCCCTCTTAACTCCTACAGGGATTTCCCCGGGATTCTTATAGGGAGTCTTGCCTAGGGACGGTTTTCTCCATTCAAGAGAGAAAATCTGGGATCATTAAAATTCAATTGATCAATCGAAAATGTTCTTGATGGAGATTTTCAAAAACGATATTCTAAAACTATTTCTCTTTAGATCTATAAAAATGCCAACATTTCTAGTTTGTTTCAGTCGACAGTTATAAGATTTCTTATGATCACATAAAAAAAATAGCTAGACAAAATCAGTCTTCATATAACGAAAAAGTTGGCAATTCGTAGATATTGAAATAACTGAATCAGATCAGTTCGTCATCATTGAACTCAGTACGATAGTTATCTTTGTCTAGCTGTTTTTCCTTGTGATCATAGGTCAATTGGGTAAAATCGGGAATCTCAGTCTTAGACAGATCCAAAGAAAATATTTCTCAATAATGCTGAATCTTCTTCTTCCTTGAACAATGAAAATTACAGATCTCTACGATGTTTCACTATCAAAAATTATTTGAAAAAAAGTAGATCACATAATAAATCGTAGTTCTTATACGTCAATAGAATTTTAATTTATTTAAAAAAATTTTTTTTTTTTTTTAATATAGACTATACCACCACCATCTGTATTAGATCAAACATCTGGTGTTTTACATTCAAATTTAACTAGTTCAGAAAGGAATCTTATTTCTAATATTATACATGCATTTGATACATTTAGTCCAATAAGTGAAACACGACATACAATTGAAATAATCAATACATCAGCATCTAGTCTTCATTTTGATTTATCACGATCACTTCAAATGATATCATCATTCTTAAAATCTATACGATCATTTATTAGTTCAACACCTGATTTTAAAATTCTAACGACATCAGAACAATGGTCTCTTTTTCAACGTAATATGCTTGGTCTTTTATCTATTGGTGGAATGTATTTTATGCGTGAATCTGGTATATTTGATAAACCTGAAAATGAAATGGCTATTATACCATTATATGGTAATGAAGTTGTTGAACAAGTTAAAACTATTAGTGCACAATTCAATTGTGATCCAACACTTATTAAACTTGTACTTGTTGCACTTGCATTTTCTTCAAATTGTTATACAAAACAAACTCGAAGAAATATTGATAAAGATAGTTTATTATTAGGTACATTTCGTTTATTTGGTAGTCAAAATGTTTATGTTGAACTTATATGGAAATATTTAATTCATCGATATACTTATGATGAATCGGTTAGACATTTTTCTACATTTATTCAACGACTTCTTGATGCACTTAAATTATCAATTGAAATTTATGAAAATAATCCAATATTTCAAACATTTATTGATGATAATGCTGAACAAATTGAACAATCTTCAACAACAGATGACAAAACAATTGTTCCATTATGGGGAAAAAAGTGATCTATTATATGTGCTATGTATATTGATTTTTGTTCTTTCTTCTTCTCTTAAAATTCTTATGTCAGATAACGAAAATTGTATTTTAAAATAATCAAAAGAGTATATATTTGCAAAGTTAAATAAATTTGTGAAAATAAATGATTGTATTAAAAATAATTTTGAGATATATATATATAACGAATGGCGTAGATTTAATCGAACGACATAATTTTCTTTTTTTTTTGTTTTTTGAATAGTTTCGACTCTCGAAAAGAAAATGTAGAAAGTAAAGTATGAAGTGTGAGTGATGAGCTCTAGTTGCCAAAACAAAGTATAATATAGATCTTTGTCCAATTCCTAAAAACATTCAAAAAACTGAACAGATTCTATCACACATTCTAAATCTTTATGAATATCAATCCTACAAATGAAATAGATATATTGAATTCTTTATTATGAAAAAAAATAATTTATATAATTTCAGTAAAATAAGAGTATCTTTTTTCGTCAATGAAAGTCTTAATTATTTCAATATACTTTCAGAAAGTCATATAATAGAGAATATTTTGTTATAGAAAATTGTTAACATCCGCTAAATCTTCAACGTGTGATTTTTCAATTGTAGTCCTTTACTAATACTGATTAATCTAGAAAGTAACGCAGTTAGAAATAATAGATAGAGGAGTTGGTGCTATCTTAAGACTTTTGGTACTTTCGTTCATGATAAAAAAAAAAACATATTTTTCAAAAAGAGATTTAATGTATGAAATAGTTATGCTCGAGTTGTTAGATGTAGAATTTCATTCTAAACAAAACATAATGATTGATAAATTGAAGAATACAAACAATTAGGTTTTATTGAAATCAAAGTAAGAACAGTCAGATAATCTTGTAAGACAATGATTTTTTTTTCTTCAATTTTTACTTCATGATTATTATTGCAAAAGATTTCTACTTAAATTTTGTTCGAACAAAAAAAAGAATTTACTTGAATGAGTTTCTAAATGTATATCTAAATGTCCAAAAGGAAATGATATTGTTCGTTTACTCTGTATCATTCGTTAATTAAGAAAAAATTACAATAGTTGTTATTGCGTAAATGATCTTTTTTTTTTTTTTTTCATTTATTTTCTCTCATGCTATTTAATCGAACTGTATGCTATATTTGATGTTTGATTATGAATCAAATAAAAATTTTCGTACATAATGATAATTTTTCTAATAATAGAATGGTGGTATCTGCTGATAACTAATTTATCGTCTTTTTTTAGATGCTGCATAAATTCTGTCTAAAGGTTAAGATATATTCTTTATGGTAATTGAGACATATTGAAATAAAGATTTCTTCATCATTAGACAGAATAAAGTAACATAATAAATAATTGTTAAAGAGTACGGCTTATCTTCATGTAGTATATCAGTAGTGTTGTTCTCTTTATCACGTTCTTTTCTGAAGATGATTACGACTATTCGTGTTTTTAGCAATTACTCCTCTGTATAGAGCGTTGGCGATAAGATACGACACTCTAGACATTTCTGTATAAAGGTTGTACTCTCTCATTATATACGACAGTAAAATAATGTGTATAGACAGATTGCTTATGGGCATAATTATGCATGCATTATTATTCGAACAGAATTAATTTTCTTTCTTTTTTTGAGATTGATGGAAGCTGATGATAGTTTTCTAGTTTTTTGCATGAATCAGTGATGTTAGTGTTGAAAAGAACAATTGAGAATTTTGATACAATCTTCAATAAAATTAAACAAAAATTTTCGGAAACTACATTTAAACTCTCTGATCGCAATTCATGTTTGACAGTTTTCGAATCCATTGAGAAAACATCATAACCAATTATTTGTCATGTTTTATACATAAAAATGTCTTTTCATGCATAACATACGACAAAAATATAGTGTGAGGACTTTGTCGACATTTTTCAGATGTAAAAGTTGTTGTTTTTAAAGCTTTTTTTAAACGTATTCTTCTTGATCTTATGTGAATATATGTGAAAACGCTTAAATAGGAACTGCCATTAGGCTGTTTAAATACGTTTTCAAAACTTCTTTTCTACTTGGGTGATTTTCAAGTTTTACATATAATCAGTCATTTAAAAAAAGTTATAAACACGCTCAACAATCACAGTTTTTTTTTCTGAACAATAAGTGGTCTTTCAAAAATCAATCGCATTACTCCAATGATTTATTAAATGTTTTACGAGGAAACGTTATCAAACGATCAATAGGTTTTGAATTTGGATTTGCTATAATTTAAGCTGCGGCTTGATACATAACAACAAATCGAATGATGGTGTTTTGATTTGAGATTTTACCTACAGACAGGTCTACAAGTCAGTGTCATGTTCTGAAAATTTCAGATCACAAGAATATTTACTTTGGAAGATATTACAGTTCCAAATGAATGCTGAAGCTGTCAAAGCATTCTACTATTAAATAGATCTGTCTATAGATGAAATCTCAGATCGAAATAGTTCTAGTTGATTTGTTGATAAATAGCAAACTAAAGTTTAAAATTCTAATGAAATACTTAAAACTCTTCATATAAAATCTGATGGAAACTACTCAATCACTGATGTTGAAAAATTCATTTCTTTCATGAAGAGCACTTAGAGTAAGACCATGAATTACTGAATGATTGATATTTTTTTAAGTTCAATATCCTGTCAATGGCTATGACGAGTAAATGAATATAAGTTACACATGAATATATATAACGATTTCACATATTCAATACGAAGACAACTTCTATCGAATCTATTGTTTCTCTTTTGAATAAAAACAACATTTATTACATTTGGATTAATAATCGATATGCTAATCAAACTCATATCTATACAAAAAAAAAACATCGATATATCAACAAACTGTCAGATAATATATAGTACGAGATAATGCTCGACAGCTATGACTCTGATTCTAATCTCACCTTGTTTAGTTAAGATATTTAATGACTCATGATGATCTATCCATTGAATTAAATTGTATTTCAAAATCAATTTCATAGTGGAGACTATTTCCTTGACAGTACAATTCTAATTTTTATATGGATGTATGTAGCAACAATATCGTCTATGTTATAACGAAAACTCCATCTTGATATTTTTATGCGATTATGAAGTATTCGAAAATTAAAAAAAAAACTTTTGCTGATATGTAAATCAAACGATCAATGTTTGTAACAAAAAATTGAGTTCGATTGGTAAATCATTATCATATATTGAACATTTTAGCAACTGAAAAAAGAAATCCTAAATGTTGACATTAGTGGCGTATCCAGGATTTTTCGGTATGCTGAATTTCAACTTCAGAGCATGGGACTCACCTGAAACTTATAGAGATATTATATTGAGCCAAAATGATGAGTTTTTATCAAAAGATTTTTGTAATGGGAGTTTGCGAAAAAAATTAGCATTTTCCTGAGCCCCACCAAGATTTTTCTTTTTCTATTGGTAGTATGTTGATTTTTAGAATTTCATAGTAAGCTACATCGAAATTCATCGATAGATTTCAAATTTCATTTAAAAATATGCATCCGTTCATGAGTTATAATGTTTTGGAAATTTGCTGCATGTTGCTAAAATTTTTAAAAAAATTCAAAACATTGTAACTCGTGAATGGATGCATATTTTTAGATGAAATTTGAAATCTATCGATGAATTTCGATGTAGCTTACTATTAAATTCTAAAAATCAACATACTACCAATAGAAAAAGAAAAATCTTCGTGGCGCTCAGGAAAATGCTAATTTTTTTTGCAAAATCCAATTACAAAAATCTTTTGATAAAAACTCATCATTTGGACCCAATATCATATCTCTATAAGTTTCACATGGGTCCCATGCTCTGAAGGTGAAATCCAGCATACCGAAAAATCCTGGATACGTCACTAGTTGACATCAAAGATCTGAAAAAAATGTCAACTATCATCAAAGGACTATCCAATGCCGTCTCTTTCTATTTCATTTTTTTACTGTTCAACAATATAATCATATATCGTATCATTTACAAAATTGTAATAAATATGTTTTAATAAATATACGAAAATGATGTGAGAATGAAAAATTGTTCTTTTACACTCACCTATTTAATATACTGTCGTCATTTTAAAATATGATATTAGATAATGAAAGATTTTATTTAATTCTCATGATTAATTCTAATACTGTCAAGATTAATTATTTTGTGAAACATAATCTAAACGAGATTTGAAAATATAAGAACAGAAATGTATCTTCTTACAAACGTGAGATTGAAGTCTACTGTGGGATTATGAATCATAGTTATCGTTTACTTTTCTTTTATACACACTGGAGTTTATTGCAATTGACATCTTGTATGAATTATAGATAGAAATTCATCAACTGAAATATATTCGCTCTTTTACAATACTAACAATTTCATATTGTTTCATATTTTAATCACAAAAAGATTGTACTAAATTCTTTTTATTATTTATATCATTCTTTACTGAGCCTTTTTTTTCTTGTTATATAGAATGTTGTTTATATTCAAACAAAAATTCCATACGATTAATTGATTGATGATTAAATTGAAAAATTTTCACTTAAATTTTTATTCTATTCACAATCATGTTCATCTGTATGCTGTTCATTTGACAATATCGACAACACAATAAAAACCCAAAAAAAATAACATGTTTTTTTTTTTCATCTATGCTATTTAATTTATTGTTACAAGGCATAAATAAACGAGAATAAAAAAAGAAATCTGAAAAATACTACATTGATATTTTATGAATAATTCATACATGAAGTATTTAAACATATTTCTAAAAACATATGTTTATAATGTCTAACGAGGGAAGGTCACCAACGGTTCAATCGCGTTTTAGTCGGAACTATGTGCATCATGTAGGTCCTAATGAACTATGAATACCCTGAAAAGAGTTCGGGCGGCTAGCTTATTATTGTCGAGATAATGCATTTTTATGGTATTTTTAACTAAGCACAATGCCGTAGTCCCCCTCAGGAACCCGAAAAA